AATTATTATTCATAATTCTATCGGAGTTGCGAGTTTTTTTAGACATAGTTGTTGGTACTGCCGACATAGTAATCAATGCTACTCATAAACGAATCTCTCTCGTGGTTACACACATCTTATTAATTCCCGTGTAAATGATCGTTTTTTAAGCGAAAAGTGATATATTTGTACGGAAATACTCGTCCCTGTAGACTCCTAATTAATTTGCTTGTATAATTAGCAGATATACTGACAGGTTTGTTATCGTATTTTCCGTAATATTTTTACGCATATTTGCGATTTAATGTCAGTATAATAGATATTAGTAATAATATTAATGTAGTAAAGTATTAAAATACCAATTTATTAGATAAATTACACTAATAAAATTTAGAATTGCAAATGTTATATTGATTTTTTGTAGATAATCAGTAAATCATATTATAAAAAAATTTGTACATAAAATTTAACGCGTGTGAATATTTTACATATTGTTGGCGCGATATAAAATTTTTAATGTAAACTTTTTTTTAAAATAAATATTATATTTAATTCTTATATAGTATTGCGCATATATACTGAGAAAAAATTTATTAAATCTTAACATATTTTTTTTCAATAGTACTAATTTAATGTTTACTTACGTCAGTAAATAAATTGACTCAATAAAAAAGTGATAATTGAAATTAATGATTCTTGTATTAAGTAAACATATGTTTAAATTTAATAAAAATCGAGTACTATTCAAATAAATATTTATTAAAATTTAGTACATTTTTTCAGTGTAACATATATTTAAATATCATGTACATTTTTTAAAATGCACTGTACGATTTACATTTTTGTATAATGCACTCTTACCACTCGTACCACATGTGCCATCTCCTGTATTTATAACATATATGTCATCATTCCGCTTTTATAACATGTATGTTATATTGCATATATTAAATCTCAATATTATTATTATATGTTTAAAGCTGTGCTAATATTTATAAATTTGTTTTGCTTTTTTCGACGGTCTACATCGACGAGAAATACGTATGTATGTATGTATTCAACTAAATCTTTTACTTTGATTGTGTTAACGAAGTAAAACATTGTCTCATTTTGATAAACGTCATTAATATGACTAAGTTCCTTTACTGGCGATTTATCGCGCCGACTTTAGAAGTTGTCAATCTCATTAATTATTAGTCTAATTATTAGTCTAAGTAAATAAACGAAGTAAGGCAACAACAAAGTCCCACGTCTTCCAAATGATGAGAGTATTGATTAGTAATTTAGCGAAGAAAAAACCTCGAAATAATTTCGAA